TATGTTAGCAATATTAATTTTTATTTGCATAGATAATTTGGCAGGCATTGATTATTCTTCACCCGGAGCCACTGATTCACATGCAGAGCCCTCCCACACTACAGATAATGGTATCGCAATATATTTAATTCAATATAATGATCCTTCAATTTTCTCGTATTGATTATCTTCTTTAATCATTGTAGAGGGTTCTTGGACACCATCGTCTTCGCAAAGTACGCAGGGGGCCGAGTTGCGTTCGTGGACCCCAGACATTCCCCATCTACCATTGCCTCCAGATTCGATCATATCAAAGACTAATGCTTTGAAGTATCATCCACTTGCACTCAAAAGGCTAGATGAACTACAGCCTATGATAACCGTTAGAAAGAAAGTTGCAACCGAAGCGAAGGATAGAGAAGTGGCGAGAGGTAAATTTAATAATTTTGCGCAATTGTTTTCGCCTTTTCATCACGTAACTTCTGTTGTCAATGTAGGGGCAAAGCGAGATGCAACTGGACCGGGAGGACGTGGTGGAAGCAAGCCTGATTCCAAACAGGCACCGAGAGGCTTTCGGGGAATTCTTCAGTGGGTTGATAACTTGCCGATCGGCCCGTGGTCAAAAAAATTTAATAACTACATCGACGTTTTAGTACGGCGGGCTCAAGTCATAAACCCTTACTTCAGATTCAAGGAGCTTCCATGGTCCGCATACGAGGATATATGGAGAGAGTTGATGGTATATGATCATTACTTCTTTAATTTTTTTTGATATAGAATACGTTTACAAAATGCTTAGATATCTTATATTTTTACATGCAAAATTGTAGAAATTCTATTGTCTTGAGGACTACCCTGGGGCGTGGCACTATGTTTTCAATATCAAAGTTGAGGCCGTGCTCAAACAGTGGCGACATGAGCTGAAGATATCAACATATGATAAATATACCCAAGATTGGCAGAGATTTTTAAATCTCGATGAGAGGGTGGATCTCGATCATTTCACGGCTCTTCTTTTTTATTGGGATACGGAGTCCGCACAGGTATGAGTACATTATCAGGTTGCGTACAAAAGCATATTGTAAATGCAAGTATCATTTTTAACACCCTTTTTTTTTGTAGGATAAATCTAAGAAGGGCTCGACGAACCGACATAGCAAGCGCAAGCTTGACCACCACTTGGGATCGATGTCCTTTGCCAATCTTGAGTATAGATATTGTCGAGACACGGTATAATATTTAACGTTGACGTATTCACATGCTAGCACCTTTAATTTGACCAAACTCTTCGACATTTCCTATTATATTTTGTAGGGGAAGTCGATAATGCCGATCAATTTGAAGGCAAAGTTAGCTTACGGCACCTTTCGCTCAACATATAAAGATGAAGAGAAGATTAAAGAAAACATGGTGTTGGTGGTAATTATTTTTCAACAAATATAAAATAATAACTATTACGTTGTTGTACATTTCATTAATTAATAGTTTAAACTGTTGTACTTTGAAATTCGGCTTCTTAAAAAAAAAATTCGCATTTCCACCCACGGCTTTTTACAGGGCCACATTCATTATTTGACAAATTAATATATATCTATTTTTCTTATGTGATTTAGGATAATATTGCTGCCGCGACGAAGGATGCAGCACTACGTGCTACCCAAGAAGCTGCTGATGACCCTCATGTCTTGTCTAGAGAGGAGAATAATGCCATTGCAATGAATGTGATGGGGTATAATAACCGAGGCAGATTTCCATTGATGGGGGTTGGAGCTCAGCGGGGTACCTCCAGAAAATCCTCCACGGCATCCTCGACAACCTCGACTGCGACAACATCATCAAACAGAACCCTTGCATCTTCTACAATTATGCGCGTCAACCGTTATCTGCGCGGTAAGATCGATCGTACATTACTCATGCAGATGACGACGGCTATGTGTTCAGATTTGCCTCCATCCCCTACTAGCGACGATGTTTTTACACACATCGTTTTATGCTTGTCCGGGAAGATTTCAGCTGAATTATTTGAAGAAGTTTTGGACCAATTAGATTTAGACGTTGGCGCACAGGTAAATTACAGATCAGCAATTCTTTTGTTGAATTTCATTCTCTAAATGTAAATCTATTTATTTTCAGGCTGGACTTGCTGGAGGAAGCAGTTGAATTTCATTCTCTAAATGTAAATCTATTTATTTTCAGGCTGGACTTGCTGGAGGAAGCAGTAGTGGCTTGCAGAGGAGGGAACTTGACGATGATGAGGACTCTTGATTTTATGAGGTAAGTTAGTTAATTGTATGGAGGAAGCAGTAGCAACGATGTTTTCATTGAACTTTTATCTTTCCAAAAAGTTTGTCCTTCATTGTGAACGAAAAGGTCTGACTGTTCATTATGGGACGAAAACAAATATCTTACTAATATTACTCTTGTAGGATAATATCTATACTGATGCTTGCCACTAATCATGTGAACCTTATATTGATTACCCTTAGGGGGCTCTTTGGTTATTAGAAAAAAGAGAGAAAATATATTTCTAAAAGAACTCATTTTTTTCTTAAAACCCAAAAACTCATTCCGAGCTTTGAGCTCAAAAATAAGCTGGAAGTATATTCTTTTCTTGGAATTTATTTTTCCTGAAACTAAGCATATAGTCCTTTGAAGGAAAATGGTTCCACATGAAACCACTTCCTCGAAGTAATTATCTTTATAGAAATTCTTTCAATTAATCTAACACACGTATTAACACTTTGACGATAGCTATATGTACAGTTGTTTGGTTTTTCCTTTTTGATAATTTGCTCTTACTTAATCATGCACAGTGTCCTAATTAATTCATGTGTTGCTTTGTGGAATCAACATATATATAGTAGTCGATAGTGGGTCACGGAGGAGGATTTGGCAGAAAAGAAAGCTACAATGAGAAATTCTTTACTTTTTAATTTTTTTAATTTTTTAATTTTTGCCTTAAATATGTTAGGATTGATCCACCACAATTCCCTCACCCCACCTTTTCCTAAGCACATGAATAAGCTCTTAACCTACAAGTTAATAAAGAGTTGCCCAATACAGTCCAGGTTTTCTAGCGCATGGAGCTGTAGCTTGTTATTACTAAGAAAATAACTAATAATAGTGTGTGCCAAAATTCGTAGCAGATCCACCGGCAACGAACTTTGGTGCATATATAATATCTTTTGGCTTTTGAGCTGTATGGATCTATGGCCCTCTCATGGGATGTGATGCTAATCACTTGTTATTCATCAAATTAACTTTATAGCATGAATTTGGTTGATGTGTCCATAGGCATATGAGTAGCCCAAATTAACTTTATAGCATGAATTAACTTTATAGCATGAATTTGGTGGGGGGCTTGCTTGTGTTTGTGGTCATGAATATACTTGCACATATTGTTGTTAGTTATTAGTGGAAAAGTTTAATTAAGGAAAGCAAGCTCATAACAATGATGGATGACTAGGAAGTAGTTGTTTTGAGGATGCAACCTTCTTTTTACTCATGTTTCTTGTATAGTATAACGCAAATTTTGGTTCATTATTGTTAGTTGTATAGTATATTTTTTAAACAAATGCTTACATTATTTTTTCTTTGACCTTTTTCACAATGACAGTGTGACATTGCGGGATCAAAATTGCTCCTTTATATCTAAATTGATTTGGATATAAATATCCATGTCCTGGATGTCCATAAGTAACCTGATAGTCTGATACGATTAATGATCAATCAAACGCATGATTATGAAGCTAGCTAGTTCCAGTTATGCTACATAAGTCCTGTTCATGCTATTAAAACTAATAAACAAAGTTTGTTAATTATGAGCTTAATTCTTGTTAAGAGCTAGCTTAATTAATTCTTACTCACCTTGCCCATGATGTTGGTATATATAGTGCTACAGTTGCTTCTGGTCCTGGGATATGTGGAAAGTGCAGGTGAGATATGTGGAAAGTGCAGCTGAATACGAGATCCAGTGCAATTTATAACATCTACGTTTTTTTCTTTTGGGTTTGGGGTTTGGGGGGGGGGGTTCTTAATTTCAACTATCCCTTTTGATTACTTGTTTACTAAAAAGTCATATTTAGTAGACTTAATTGTGCTTAAAAACCTTCTTTTTAAAAAATATACTATACAACTGTATTTGTGAATCCTACTTATATAACGCAAATTTGGCCTCATGTTTAGTTATTACTCATGTTTAGTTATTACTAAGCATACTTCTAAATTTAGGAATATATCATATTCTTAAAAATAATGCCACCTTCTTTTTTATCTTGCAGGTGCATGTGTTTCTTTGAGCTTCTCTGGAGAAAATGGACTTGGATATCGGTTTGTCATGCGTCGATATTGTATTTTTAAACCACAACTTTCTTTGTGTTGAGCCCAAAACAAATAGTGAGTTGATTCAGTTGTGTGGCAGATTTATAAGTTGACATTGTGTTACTTTGTTGTGTGAAAAAACAAAGTATATATGAGGTTGGTATAATGTTGGTGTGTGATTTATTTATGAAAAAACATGTGTTACTTTGTTGAGAATATTTATTTAAGTTGTTTTGTGTGGTTTATTTAAGTGGTTAATTGGTATCATGTTGGTGTTGTGTGATTTATTTAAGTTGTTATCATGTTGGTGTGGTTTCTTAATTTGTAAGCTGAATTTACAGGGTTATTTGAGTGGATTTACAGATTTTTAAGCTGGATTTACAGGTTTGTAAGCTGGAAACAGCACAGAATATCCCAGACAGATTTTTTGTATCCCAGACGGAAAAACCGTCTGCGTTGTAAAGACGTATGTATGCAGACTTCCGTCTGGGATAGTTATCCCAGACGGAAATTTTCCGTCTGGGATAACTATCCCAGACGGAATATGTTTCCGTCTGAAATTACTATCCCAGACGGAAATTTTCCGTCTGGGATACCTATCCCAGACGGAAAATTTCCGTCTGTAATGTATTATAGACGGTATTTTTTTCCGTCTACTAAAATCCGTCTAGAATTCATTCTAGACGGAATTTCCGTCTAGAATAACGTATTCTAGACGGAAACAAACTAGACTCGTATTCCAGACGGAATTCCGTCTGGAATAGGTTTTCTGGACGGAATTTTAATTATTCCAGACGGAATTTTCCGTCTGGATTACGTCGTTTTGTACCAGTGTGTGGATCTTTATTTGCAGGAAGTTGTTGGAGTTGAAGGTTCTGTTCTGAGGCAGGGGAGAAGTGTTATAGTAATTTCGGTCGAGTTCAGGATAAAAGAAACTCAGAAGCTCTTCTACACATCTCGGGCCACTTTTTATGTGATGCATTTCGCAAGTTTATGAGTTCTCCGACAACTTCAAGTAAGAAGTTATGGCCATATATAATGTGTTAGATAATAATATGTTGTTGTCATATCGATGAATTTGCATAAGATGAAGGATTTTGTGTGCTCTGCGTATCGATGAATTTGCACAAGACTAATTACTGCCCAAAAACTGAATGAACATCAATGCACAATAATTTTTTCTTCGTCTTTACGATTACTTTCACATTGATGATGCTAACATAAAATCTTTATTGTATTTCTCTCCCTCTGCTGTTGTATAGGTGGAAGCAGATGAAGCATATTTGAGTAATGAAAGCACAGTAACCAATATAAACACCTTTTTTGAAGATGCCTGTAAATCGTCATGTGAAGGAATAATGGCAAAAACTCTAGATATTGATGCTGGATATTGTGCATCAAAGCGCACTGATGCCTGGTTAAAGGTACATCTAATTTGAGATAAGACGAACATCCCGCTTGATCAAACTTCTTGTAGTCTGATGTTCCATAATTTCTCATCAGGTCAAACGTGACTATATTGAAGAATTGGGTGACAGTCTTGATTTGGTACCCATTGGCGCTTGGTATGGGAATGGAAGAAAAGCGGGATGGTACAGATAATAGGCTTCCCTTCCTTCTTAATGTTTTCCTTTGATCTAATGGTTTCTCCCATCAAAATGATTTTGTTTCTCTGACTGCCACGGTACAGGTACAGCCCTTTCCTTATGGCGTGCTACAACCCTGATGCTGAAGAGTTTCAAGGTGTAAGAACCGATTCACTAAAGAATCGGATTGGGCCCATTTAGGATCTACGCACTCAATTTGGCTTCGTGTTAATCATTTGTTTTTTTGACATTGCCCCATATGTACGTTATTATCTCATCACAATAGGAAACAACAACAAAAACAGTAGACGTTCATCGGATAGGGTACAATGACTATCTTCTATCATTGGTGGTCGTCCATAAGAGCTCACATAGCGAGGGAGCAAGGATCCTTCCTCAACCTCCTTATGTCTAGTCCAAGCACATGTCATATGTCAACATGCTACAATATTACTTCTCTCTTCCTAAGAGAATACATCATTAAGTGAATATTGTACAAACCCAAATTTCATCACCTTGTGATGAACTTGTCTAGCAAACCACCCTGCGATATGCCTGAGATTTCACAACAAGCCCGCACCTCGTGCACGAAGTCACACCCTTAATCTAGTTGATAGTAAATATGTAAAGT